AAGCTGATGGATACTTGTGACTTTCTCGCACAAAAAGTAAAAAAAGTTTTAGTAAAAAAAATTGGGAAATTTTTAAAGGAGAAAGATAAACCTTTCAATTAGTAAATTTAATCTCTATGATTGTCCTAAATTACATAGAATTCAAAATTGATATGATTTTTTAATATACTAACAAATATAATTAAAAACTGAAGAAATATAATAAATTTTTATTTATGTTTACATAAACACACACAAAGAGTAATAACTACATACCTAACCCAATATTCCAATATACATTAAATTAGATATTAATATATATGCATTAATATTCCTTACGATTGCTACACAAAAGTTGGCTTATCGCCGAATAATTTCGCGTTAGGGTTAAAAATAAGGAAAACTGGAGTAAGAAGAGACCATACGGTAACACGATACTAGTAACGTAAATGTCGAAAGAACTTTCAAAATCTGGATCGCGCGTTAAATCGGAGCAGTTAAATCAAATTAAATCAAATGCAATATAGATTCGTCGAAAATGTCATAAGACTCAAATGACAAGTGTGGTCGCAGACGTGAACCGTGTAATCGTGCACAGCTTACATAAGATAAAATAACGATAAATAAATATCACGTAACCCATCGACGTGAACTGATCAGGCCAAATAAGCTCAGCGCCAACCGTCCCGGAAGGACGTTAACATACGGTCTAAATCTGTATCGCCCCGTTTAATGTCTTTAACCGGACGATTTATTGTTAGCAAAATTAATCGTAGAAGAAACCATCCAGAAAAAGAGAGAAATCTTTCATTTCTTTTGAAGAATTCTTCAATTCTTTGCGAACCGTCGAATTCTAGCTACACACATCCAATAACTAAAGAAAAATTGTATTAAAAAAATTCGTCAAAAATTTCTTTATTTTTGCTGTTGTCTGTTTTAAATTCGCGGAAATCAAATAATAAAAAACGTTTTTTAATGTAAAAATATAATTTTTTGCAGTTCTGCGCAAAGCTTTCGATAGCTTCGACAGCGGAAAGAGCGGCAGCATCCCCACTGAAATGGTCGCTGATATTCTTCGGCTAATGGGACAACCGTTCAACAAGAAAATCTTGGACGAACTCATCGACGAGGTCGACGCCGACAGTAAATATCATTAATTGTATTAATTATTTACATCAACAATGTTATAAGACGTACGACGAATCTCGGAGCCTATTTAAAGAATATTTATTGATCAAACGTAACAATTGTTTATCTCGCTATTTTTAAAGTGTTTACAGACATTATGAACGGTCTCTACCGAGTTGTTGTCAAATGTCGCACGATTTAATGTACCGTAACACAGTATCTCTCGCAGTAATTTTATTTATAGAATTCGTTGTACTTTTGCACACCATCTCATGTAATATCCGCTTGCAGAATCTGGGCGGCTTGAATTTGATGAATTCGTCACGTTGGCAGCGAAGTTTATTGTTGAGGAAGATGCTGAGGCGCTGGAAAAGGAGCTACGAGAAGCTTTCAGGCTTTATGACAAGGAAGGTAATAACAATTGTCACGAATCGTAATAAAACTAAAATATTGGATAAAGCTCGTTATTTTATGACGTTTCTTCAGTGAAGGCATAGCTAACAATCATTTTAATAACAATAACTATTTTTCTTATAAATTCAAATTATTTCGTAGAGATTTCAAAAACAGCGATCAATGTTTAGAAATGTGAAAATAATATGTCTTGGCACAAATTATGCAAGCACATCATATATTTAAGATACTTTTCTAATTTTTTAATAATTGTAATAAATATATATAATTATATATAAATATATATAATTCGAGTCTGATTTTTAATTATTTTTTAATAGGAGTAATCTAATTCTTTACATGAAAATAGTAAAATCAATACTCTTTCGGTATGGAAATAAAGTACTATGCTTTTTAAAAATTTGTCAACTTTTTCCATATGGTTTTTTTTAAGATAAAAAAAGTTTTAAACTCTTTTCTTTTTTTCTGACTTTTCTCATGTTCCTTTCTTATATGTAGTCTTTAAAATGAGGTTGCCATATGGTAGATATTTTATTTCAAGAAACAAATCAGTTTTACAATGTGAAAAGACTTGGCGTGACAAGCGTGAGATATGTGTCGAGGAAATTTCAGAATAGTTTGTTAGTTTGTACAAACAGGCGCATTAAGTTCGCATCAGTTTCGTTATATGCGAACGTAAAAATAAGCCGGAGATTCCCGACAGAGGAAGCTCACGTGGCGGCCGAGAGCCAAGAATGTCGTAATACATCTTTCATGAATTACGATTATATCGAGGGTGTAGCGTATGTATTTTAACGTAGCTGGCACCGAGAAGATAAATATTGCGGAGCGGATAAATTTTGCAATTACTATTTGTGTCAAGTGAAAGGGAGATGAGTACTACATGTCAAATAGATTCTAAGGATAAATAATGTAACAATATTCTCAGATTCTTACGAGTGCAAGAAGAAATGATATTATACTAATTATATTACAATTATCTCATACGCGTACATCACTTAAATGTTACTAAATCTTTACAAAAATTCTTACAGAAATTCAATTTAAAGATACATTTCCAAAAGTTACTCAAACCAGCCGTTTTAGTGACAATTAAAAAGATTACGTGATGAAAATTAATCTTTGATATTCATCAATTTTTACCTCCTTTTTATCACTGAAACAGTCAATTCAAGCGAAGAAAATGTGCCTTAATACTAACCAACTCAATATTTAAAATAAGTAATCTATTATTTTCCAGTATTGAATTTCTGTATGGAAAAAGTTTGTGATTCTGTGTACATACCTTATTCTACCAGGTAATGGTTACATCCCAACGACGTGCCTACGCGAAATCCTAAGAGAATTGGATGATCAACTGACGAAAGAAGAATTGGACATGATGATCGAAGAAATCGATTCTGATGGCTCCGGTACAGTAGATTTTGATGGTACGTTTTTAATTTTCCTTTTTCTTTTCGTTCAATAAAATACAATGTCCAATAAATTATAATACAACTTGTAAGACAATAATCTATCACGATAAGATTAGCGAAACAGAAAAGAAAAAATTCCCTGATTTTTCCCGGTTTTTTCTGATCGTTAACATATAAGATAAATCTATATAAAATCTATATAAGATAAAAAATTTTAGACTAATTTTATCGAAGAAGATAATTTCTTTATAAAGTCATTGATCTTTCGGTACTATGCCAGTTTTAATATTTTTGATATATCATACACAGTTATGAAATTAAAAACAAAAAATATTTAATTGAAATATTTAATTGAAAGATTCAATTTCATTTCTTATGAAGAATAAGCATGTGTCAGCGTATATCAACGTCATATAAGTTGAATAGAGAGCCAAACGATTTATTTATATGTTGGCAGATCGAGGATGCCACTGATCTTGCGATTCTGTCTATTTTTATATTCGTACTTAATAAATTGCAGCGATTCATCAAAATCACACATCCATTTGAATTTCCAATGAATTTCGCATATGATATTAAGAAATATTGGAATGTAATCCTTGAAATAATAGAAGATTTGTAGCAAATTAGATGTGAAATTCGATTCTTAGTACTAATTTGTATTTCTTACAAAACATTAAGTGACTTGCTTACAACGAACTATAATTTAGTGACATATAGTTAAGTGTTTATAAAAAAGAAAATTTATTGCGTTTCTAATTAAAAGATATCAACAAAATGAACATTATTATAATATATATTGTATTTTTTCTTTTCAGAGTTTATGGAGATGATGACCGGTGAATAATCATCTTGAATGAATGGTGAATTGCTTTTGAATCTAAAGACACTTATGCAATCCATGCAATCACGTCTTGAAATTAATCATTCGCACGTTTATGAGGAATTAATGCACATCGAGTTTATTCGCACAGAGATATTTTCTATTTTATGATTAGTCTCGAAAGCAAATTCCCATCATAAACGTCGCATCGAATGAATTGTACTTTCTGCTTTTATACACACATACGTCATATTTATTATATAACAATAAATTTTACTTTCATACACTTACATAAGGCTTGGGATTTTTCATTGAAAAATTAGAATATTTATTGTTAATAAAACAAGATAAAAATCTAATATTTTCTTATTTAATAATGTAAATTACTTTCCTCATGTTTGTATATACGGACAAAAAATTTATAATACTTTTTTACTTATTTAGAGACTAATATTTTTTTTAAATATCTGTACTCAAGCACATTTTTTTCATTCTGTTTTGACTAAAACCTGATATAAAAGATGTTACTGCTATTACATTAATTTTTAATAATGTTTTTAACTTATTTGCAAAGAGATTAAATTATATAATATATTTATTTCTCTAAATGTTTTATTTTGATATATAGTTTTTTATCTTTTTTGTTTTTTTTTGTTACATAATGAACAAATAAATAATTTATTTTTAGACTATGGCTCCTAACAATTTTCATATTAGATAACAAAAACACAAGTAAAAAAATCGATATAATCATATTATAAATTGAGTCATTCGTCGGATTATTACGCAAAATTGAAAAGATTAAATGAAAGCGTTGCTACATGGATGAAGATGCCATGTAGATGTAAATCCATTTTGTATATTAACACCTATATTTAAGGATTATGAGAGATATTTGAAAGAAATTACATCAAAAGAAGAAAGTAGCAAAACACAATTGATTTTTTAAAAATTAGATTTTAAATTGCTAGTTATGGAGAAAAAGAAAAAGAGCAATATTTTATGTGACAGTGAGCTAAACTTTTTATTTATTTAACATTTAATTATAATCACATTAAATTCGAGATTCCTTTATAATTGACATGTTGATAGTCGCAAACATAATGTAGAATAACATGCTTAAAAAAATATAGTTACTAATCATAGACTAGCAAGTTTATTGATTAAAGTGGCACCTAAGTAAGTCTTATAAGTAAGTCCGTATGAATTTTTACCTAAAATTTTATTTTTACGATAAAAACATTTGCAAAATAATGATATTTGAAGAAAGTATTGATACTTCTCTGGAAAATAAAATATAAACTAGAATTTATGTAATTTCTATGACTTAGAATATTGTTCATTTCTGACATATATAGATGTGGACTAGACTACACTTTATGGAGAAATAATACTAATAATTTTATTTAATTTCTCCGTTTTTTAACAATACACACAGAAATGTATGTACCAGCTGCATGTGTTTATATTAAAGTTTTATCTCAATATATATAACCTCTATATATAAATTATTTTACTTATACATTATTACCAACTATATTAAATGTAATTTAATTTAATTATATAAATGTTGGAATGCTTAGATATCAATGGTCCTCACAATAAGAATGAAAAGGATTTCTTTGTTATGTTTCATACGTTTTACGCCATATATAATAATTTTGTATATCTTTCCTACTAAATAGTTCATTTATATAAAGAGTAACGTTTTGTAGCACCAACAGAATGAAGACTTTTATGGCAGTAATAAAACATATCATTATCATTTCATAAGCTATATGTGCGTTTCTTTTTACTAGATAAAATATAGAAGAACCATAAAGGCTATTAACAAAATTTGTTTCTCTTCTTACCGTTAATAAATTCTCAGAGCCGTAAAGACTATTAACAAAATTTGTTTCTCTTCTTACCGTTAATAAATTCTCAGAGCTACTTAAACAAGAGTTTGCAAGTCATCTTCGTCCAAATCTTGATCAGACGAGGGAATTAAATGTCACATTCTGAACAAATGTGGAAATTCGTTGCTAATTTCGCGTACTACTTGCTGGTCTTCATGACTGTCTGCCGTTTCCTCGCAAAATATCCTAATGCAGAGTACAAGATATACATGTAATAAAGTTTTATAATACGATAATAATAATATTTATAATATTAATATTTAATTATTTAATATTTATAATAAATTGTAATAAAGAGGGTATTTACATCTAAATCTTTACCTTGTAAAACATTTTAATAAATCTCCAGATCGGTGACGATGTTCATTATAATTGGATGTGCGTAGAACTCGGCGGCAAAGTTCAAGATATTGTCTACGCTATCGTTACACATTAAATTATACATATTAAATATATTTTTAACAAATCCAATATGAGATTATAACACAATATAATGTAATACCTTATCACCCGGAAACATATCAAAAAGTTGTCGTAGTATGATATCGATAAGAACTTTTACGTCGTTAGTGTAAAAGAGACTTGCTATGGCATCGTTACTAAACAAGTCGACAAAAAGTTTTAGTACAGAGTGTGGCGGTTGTGGCTCGTGATCAAATATTCGTACCGGATCCTCTGCGGTAAAGTAGAAGTTTGTCAGCTCGAATTATTTCTGACATACATATTATTTGTAATAAAGTTTACCTTCTCTGTTAAAAAGAAATAAAATTTTTTCAGTAAATGTCTTGGCTATAGTTCGCTCACGTAGGGCATTTAGAACGATATTCTCAGAAGTTGTAAATTGTAAATTGTAGGATAATATCAAATTTATGAATAAATCTGGGATTTGATCTTCCAGATCTGTATCAGGTGGTGTTTCTATTAGGTCCAGCAAGAACGATATAAAATCTGAGCCAAGTTGTTCTGTAAACAAATCAATAAGAAATATATATTTTAATTTTTATTTTTAATAATGATATTGATGTATGATCTATTTTATTCACCTAAATGAGTAACTGGCATGGGTTCACCCATTGAAAAAATCATTGTAAGCAATAACGAAGAATAATTTAATCTTAATACATTCCTGGGATTACTTTTCATATCTCTATAAAAATCAGAATTTTTGTTATTAGTTAAATATTAGTTAAATATACTTCATTATTAAATGTCTTATTACTCATACCTTGCTAATTCCATTGGTAGAATACTATTTAACATTATAGTTAGTACCACTGGATCTAAACTGCACATAACGCCAAATGATTGCAACAACAGTTGTCTAATAGTCCATCTCGTCTCCATTTGATAATATTGTATTAATATAGTTACGCCATTGTATCGATCTTGCCTTAAAACATGTCTCGATACATTTGCATCAGCATTAGTCTGAAAAAAGATAAATGAATGATATAATGAAACGTATGAAAATATCAATTATAAATAAAATCAAATTAAATTAAGTAAATCATATTTATACCACATTTTTAGTATTAAGAATAATATAAATATATTTCTAAGAGCATTCACGTAAATTTGAAAAAAAATTTTAATTGAAGAGAATTAGAAACAAGCAATATTAAAAGTCAAATTTAATACTAAATAATGTGACGTCGATATGATTCAAGTTATTGCCTCATTTCATAAAATAAAAATTGTACCAATATTTCAGTCAATTCTTTGATATATTCCACGATAATAGATTCATCTTCATAAAGCATCCAACTTCTTTGCTGCGAATCTTCCTTGCACGAAGTCAATTCGGTAAAAATAATTTTCAACCTATTAGCGTCGTAAGTTTCTTCTATACTCATTTTTGATACAGTCAACGGTGTTTGTAGCTGATGCAGCAAAGCATCGAGATAATGACTTACAGTTTCTGGCAGCAACTGCTGCAGGCTAGACACTACAACTGTGACTGCTACTTTCGACATTTCATGACTAAGTTGAGTATTTTTGCGTACTTGATCGAGCAATTGGTAAGCACTTCGCGAGTTAATAGCTTGTAAAGAATTGCTCTTTATTGACGAGCTGTTCTTAGCAGGCGAATTGCTTTTATTTGGCGAGCTGCTGCATATGTTATGTATGCTACCTTGCGAGGAGGTTTTACGAACTTCAGTAACCGATGTCTGGATTTTTTGAATAATGTCCGAAGACGACTGACGAGGAAGTGATTGAACACGTTGTTCGTCTCCATTCGGCCGTTGACATTGTGCCATTGCTGGAATATGATCTGTGTTATTACCGCGGAGAGTTGTTTGTGCAGTTGCGTAAGAGGTATTGCTTGGCGCTGATCTAACATCTCCTTCTGTATTGTCACAAGCAATCACAGAATGTGTTTCTTTAGATATAATGCCACAATCTAAATCTGGTGGTTTAGGCGCTTGTCTTTTGGATTTTTTGCTCAGTTCGATTTGTTTCTTCCTTTCTGTTAGCTTCACTAAGAGATCTTGCTTGTCAGGCTGCACTGACTCGCTATCCTTCTTAATTTCCGTTTCTAAAGTCAGTATACAATCTTCCAAAAAATCAATCAGGAACTGGGGCTGCGCCTATGAATCAATCAATAATACAATAGACCTGTTTTAAAGCTTATTCTTTTTAGTTCTCACACAATTCATCTTTTCCTTCTTCTCTCCGATGTGAAAAGAAAGAAGAAACATAAGTTGTGCAAGAAGTTCAGTTAAAGGACAACTCTTTTTTTAGCTAAATATCTTGCACAATTCAGGCCTTTTCTTTAGGCCTGTTCTTTTTAGCTGAACTTTTTGATTCATAATCATCTTTTCAATTTTTTTCTTTTTTTTACATGGAGAAAAAAGGAAGAAAGATAAAAAATACAAGAAGTTTAGCTAAAAAAAATAGAGACCTTTTTTTCTCTACAGTGAAAAGAAAAGGGAAAAGATACGCTATGCAAACAGTTAAATAGAATAGAGCTAAATATTCATATATACCTCAAAACAAGTTTCACATACCTTCACAGAGGCAACATAATTGGAGGGTATATAGCCCAGACGTCCTCCTCTGTTTACAACTTGCCACCAGTTTTTCTGCTTAACATTACGCTGCAGCAGAATGAAATATTCACCTTCCCGGAAGCTGAGAGTCTTGGCAAATGTGGCCTTGAAGTCGTACAAGGCCTTAACCATTTCGTAGCTATCCGCAGCTGTAAAATATACAAAATGTAAAAAGAGAGAAACGAGAAAACGAAAAAAATATATGTCGAACGTGTGTCTCGGAAGAAATATAAATACGGCGAGCTTACCTAACCTCGTCGCGCTGTTATCGTCCATCGTGGAAAGCAAGAGTGAAATACAACGGTCTCGACGGAGACAACGCCCAGGTGAAAACCAGAATGTCGGAGAAACGCCTACTTACTTTCGTTCGCGTTTGGACATCTCATTTCTCTACTACTTGTCTTTTTCTGTCAATGATTTTTTGCTCCGACCGGCCTTTCCGTGTGTGCGCGTGTATATTAATCACCTCTCGCTTGCGATTGATAGTACTGATTCTACTGATACATGGATCACGGATCGGCTGTTACTGCGAGATCGACATCGAATTCGTCGAACTATCGCCGTTCACCCATTCACTTGCTCGCTATCGCATGCTATTGCACGAATTACAAATTTGTGCGAATTATTGATCGTGCGTATCATATCGCTCCCGTTTTATAGAAATTTAATATTGAAAGATACATTATATTTTGAGTATTAAAAACATTATTGTTCAATAAGATGAAGTACTTACTCTATTCTATTTTAATATGCAATGATTTGAATGCTAAGATTTAAGAAATTTTATTTTATTATAATATTAAGAGTATCTGAAATAAGTGACTTATTCTATTTGTGGTGAAAATTTGTCTCAGAATTTTATATAAATTGAAATACTTTTCAGAAATACTGAGAAAGTCTACATCTTTTGTTAGAATTTTTCATATATATATATGAATTCTGAGATTTTAAAAATTCTATAATTTCTGAAAAAATACTTTAAATTTGTTCAGATTTTATAACATTTCATTACAAATTATAGATTGAGAAATGTCAGAATATTTCAGAATTCGCATATATGAAAAATTCTAGAAGAGATATAGATATTTTTTTTTGGTATTTCTAAAGTATTCCAATTTGTATAAAAAATCTGAAAAAATGTTTAAAGTTAGAAAATTAAAAATCTAAATTTTTTTAATTTTAATTTTATATAAAAATTCTGAGAAAAATTTTCATGAATTTATGTCTAAGTACTTTTTGAACAATAGTATTTTAATACTCAAAATAAGCAATTTTCAGTATAAAATTAGATTTCTGTAAAAATCGGTCTTTTATTGAGTAAAAAGTAGATCGATTTTTACAGTATAATTTTCTTCTACTCAAACTTTAATTTATACAATGATAAGCATATCAAATGAAAGCGCTTAAATACAAATAAAGCAATTTATTTCAGAGTCTATCAATATCAAGGAAAATATAACTTCTACCGAATCATATTTTATCATACATCAAGAAAAATTGAATGTTATATTTATTAATAATGACAACACTAAGAAAATAGTAAATGTGAAAAATTTATTAATAACTTTTATGATACATTTATGATAGATTTAAATTATCTGTACATATATAGATTTAAGTTATATTTTAATTTATGTAACGATAAATCACATGGGCGCAAAATCTCCATGGATTATGCCGACTCAAACATGCCAATACCCAGTAATAAATTTCTACGTGAAAAATGTAGCGTTAGGACAGATGTGTTTTTTGTCGGGAAGGTACGTAGTAGATAAGATTCCGAGTTTGTTTTTACATCTGGATTGTGCGAAACGTTGACATCTTCCAAACTCATCTCTTCTGCTAATTTTATGAAATCCCATAATTTCAATGTACAGTCCAAGGAACCTGTCAAAGGCAATCGATTGTTGTTCGATACATTTTTATTTGATTTACGTAAAGTGATGAATGATGAAAATACCTGACACTAGAATATTGCCATCCCGACTAAATGATAAACAATGAATATTCCCTGTATGACCAGATAAGGCTGCAACAAGGTGACCGTGTGCCAAATCCCACACAAGCACACGATGATCTGCCCCAGCTGAAGCTAAAAAGCGACCTTCTGTTGAGAAAGCTAAAGAAAAAATCGGTCCTTTATGCCCAGTCATCAATCGGACTTGATTGCCAGTTACACAATCCCATAATCTCACGGTCATATCACTTGAACCACTCGCGATATAATTCGAATTTGGATGAAACTGAATTACCTATAAAGATAACAGTTAATTGTTTCATCTAACGATCAAACAGAGCACGCATGGTGGACAGCGCACGAGTCTACCATGCTAGATAATCGCGAACAAGCCCAGTCTCGATTTTAAGATGTTGCATCATCAATGAATAATCAAACAAATAAATTAACTATAGTAAATGTTAACTCACATCAACATCTGAATAATGGCCAGAAAATATTCGTAATGGTTGATGAGAGTCAGTCGCCCATAATCTGGCAGTTTTGTCATTCGAGGCACTTGAAAAGTAATAACCGTGCGGTGAGAATCGTACGCACCATACGGGAAATAGATGGCCTTTGTAACAAACGACACATGTCCATGTATGCAGTGACCATAGCCTTACTGAACAATTAAAATTATTACATTAATTTAATTTATCTTTAATTTATCTTTAATGTACTAATATTATATTAATAATTACACTAATAACTTTCATTATATGATTGAATAAACATTACTTGTGGTATCTTCTGATGACGAAAGCAGAAGATTTCTGTCTGGACTAAATGAAAGACTATAAATTGGCCCACTGTGACCATACAGGTTTTTCGTAGTTTCAGATGTTCGTTCATCCATCATTCTAACCAATACGTCTTCTATAAAGTTTTTTGCAACACATTTTAGAATAATATAAATAAAATAATATAAATAAAATCATGATTTATCATGATTTTATGTGTTACCTGCTTCTCTATTAATATCTTGTAATGGTTCACCCGTTTTCATCAACCTCAATTTTTGTGGAATTAAACTCCATACTTTTATGGTAGAATTGCTAAATCCGGTAGCTAATAAACTTGAGTCCTCTGCTATTTCTGCCGCTGTTACACTAATTACAAAAGAAGATTTATGAAATGGATATTAATGAGAAAATTTAATTTCATATACTTACGTGTAAATTGTGTTTAACATAGTATAAAAACATATAGATGGTAATGTGTCAGGTCCAAGGACGACTCTCTTTGATGCTTCCCTCAAGGATTTAATTTTTTCCAGTTTATCCGCATCTTTCCTAAATTGAAAAGATGTAAATTGTGTGAGATTGAAGCGAAACATCCTAATTCTTTAACATCACCAGAAGTAAATCATTAAAGAATCTAGCAAGACATATTTATCTTACAGATTGGGTAACGGCATTCTGCCTACAGCTGGTGCATTCGGATCAGATTTCGTCTTCTTTGAAAATAAGGGATCTTTCTTAGCTTTTTTCTTTTTTGGTTTATCACCATCTGTACCTTCTTTATCATCTTCCTCTTCTTTATTTGGCTCCATACATTGAATATCAGGTTCCTTTAAAAGTCCATAATAGACTTTGACCTTGTTATCTACATTTTAATAATTTAATTAATAGACTTTTTTTTTTATATAAAGCATAAAAATAAGAAATAATTCTCTTGTTATAAATAAAGAAATTTTATTACCTTGCCTGGTAGCCTCTCCTACCATAGCTCCAGATGTTGCTTCTATCTGTTGTTTATTACGAGCAACACCTTCATACATATCAAAGTAAAGATGCTCCTGTATGATATTTAATAAAACGCTATGTTTCTTTTCTTGCAAATGTCGTTTTAGTATCGAAAGAGTATCCCTCGACATTCTGATTATAAACTGATTAGATCTGTAAGTACAGATATCAAATGATACTTAAGTTTAAATTATTCTTAGGTCTGAATAATATTCATCATATATTGCTCGCTTCTATGTTTACTTAAAAGTGTCGGTTAATTCATTCCCTGCCATTTGTTCCCGTTTTGTTACGTTGGATAATCTTTTCAAGTCATCCTGATAATACTCTTGTAAGTTTCCACTGAACTTTTCCATGAGTTGTTTTGCTTCTTGAGAATGATTATTATAAACCAATTCCAAATACATGTGCACCAAAACTGGATATAATATGGTTCCCAACTCATGCTATCATTATATATAATCTTGTATAGAATATAATATAATCTTGCATAATACAAGTTCATATAATGCTATTATTATATCTTATACTAATCTTCTGCCATTAATATAAGACTTTCAAAGTGCAATCAATTTTTTGATTGTGAATTCTGATAGATAATTTTAAATCTATAAAAAATAAGTAAAACACAACTCGATTTCTAATTTCTAGGAAAAAACTTGTTAAAGCTTTCACAAATACACAAGAATTTCTTGAAATTTTTATATACTCTAGAACAATATAAAAATTTGCACTAACAATAAGTTCAAAGACACAGATTGCTGATGAAAGGTATACAATTACACATTGTCCAGGCAACAGGAGATTTAATAAATATAAATCATTGCTTTATATAATAAATTATTATATGAAACAATATATAAGCAGACTTATATAAAATTTAATTTGTAAATATTTCCTCCCTTTCCTTCATTATCTTATTGAGCAGAGAGAAGACAGAACAAAAATTAAAAAAGAAACAGAAGTTTAAATTGATCATACACTGACTATACACTAAAAGACTAGACACTAAAGCTCTACAGTAACTGGCTACTTTAGGATCTATTCTTTATTTTCTTGTACGAAGAGATGATGGAAAGGAAGAAACGTGTAGCTTATGAACAAGTCAAGTTTTGAACAAGTATGATAAAGCTACATATTTATGTTGTAATATTTATGATGTAATATAAAATACTTTCGCATATGTATTAATGATAACTTTGGCTTACCTTATAAATATCTAAGGCTCCTTCCACAAACTTTTTCAATTCGCTATATGCTTTCTCATATTGTGCAGGATCACCTTCGCTTTTATAAGCAGAAAGGACACTGGTCACATCAGAATCAGATTGTTGAGAATCATCAATCGAAATATCAGTAAGATTAGCTTCTTTTCTAAATAATTCCTCAGTTCCCTAAAAACACAAAATAACAAAAATACGTAGCTATTTGTTTCTAATTATGCATGTGAGTGAAAAGATCTATTTATTAAATTTTTCAATAACACCGAATGCAGGTTAGGATTTGGAGAAAGAATGTTTTCTAACTTACCTTAAAATTGTACTTCTTCAAAAGCTGCAAAACTGCGAGCATGGTATTTTTATCGGTATCCATATTTGCACGATTATCTCTATTATTATAATAACCAAGAGAAACAAATATCTAAAACAGTCAAAAAACCAATTCAAATAATTCGTAGCTTGCGGCTAAAGTGGAAGCCAACTGAAATGAACTATATTCTTTTTCACCGGCGGCGCCACAGTTGCGATTATCGATAGTCTTGAGATTGCGATTCTCGTGATTTCAATAGATTTCGCCATCTCTCATAGAACGCGCCACGAACTGAAGATTCTGTGCTAGAGTTGTTCTATATTCCTTACTTTTATATCATTTAGAATATTCGAGAAACGTATCTCGTGCATGGGAGATTGTCAAGGATCTTTCTCTTTCTTGAATGTATATACTTTATTATCTTTGTTAGTATATACTTTATTACCATATACTCATCGCCGCGATCGGTAGTGAATTTCAGAATGATTCCGTGCCATCCTCGTAACGTCGCGTATGTTGCAAAGACAATTTAATTGACGATAGACGATTTTTTGACGTTTTGAAGTTCCGCAGCTTTGGAAGATCTTGGTATCAGCATTTCTCATCTGCAGATTTGAAGTGGAGCGAGAAACGCAACAGGTGCATCGATCATCATCAAGTATGTGATATCATTGTTTATGAAAAATATTTATGCTTGATTTATGTTGTAATCTTAATCCTAAAATTCTAAAATTCAGCCAATAGGAGCCAGTCATAATTAGAGTTCCTCTAGTAGGAGTTTCTAGCAAACGAGAATGGATTAAAATAGATTGAAATTTTTTTCTATCCGAATACGTATTTTAAATAGCGAATACTTTTTGTTGGATTAATTGGATTCAGTTAGATTCAATTAGATTCAATTAGATGCAATTGGATTGAAGAATTGCATTTTTTATTCAAAATTTTGAATTGAACAATATTCACAATTGTGTTTGTGTGCACAGAAAAAGCTAATATTATTTTTAGATTGTAAGGCATAGAGATATGTTCCATGCAATTCTTATAAATGAATAAAAATGCATTCAGAATTGAAAAGCATTCATTTTAACATTCGTGAATCAATATTTCTGAAAAATCTGAATCCATTTTAATTCATTTCAATCCATTCTCGTTTGCTGAGTTAGGAGTTAAGATATAAGACCGAAAAGATGCCATGGCCGGAAACCGGAAACAGCACAATTCCACCATGGTTGACAGTTGATAGTTTGATTTCGCGTTCGCATCTTTTACACTATGAAACAATTGTTCACACTAAGGCTATGGTCAAAGTCTCACTACAAATGCTTTGAAGCATTTAATGAACCAATTAGAAGAAAGAATTTTACAAACTAACCAGTTAAAAAAGCTTCAAAGCGTTTGCAGCATCGCGTTGACCGTACTTCAATTCACAGATTCATTACCGCATCGAAAATATTTGCAAATGGCGGCGTTTAAAGGAACTCAAAATCTGACTAATCAGAAATCGATACCCTTTATGATTTGACTCCTTATTCTAGTCATAATTAGAGACTCTTTAATCAGAGATTGACCAAGGATTTTGTCAAATTTCTTCGAGCGAGAAAGGAGTATAGGCATCTCACGCCTCCGTCAATATTGGTGTATATGCATGATGTATGCGAAATTATTCTTATATATTCTTATGGCCAGTCTCTGATTGAAGAGTCTCTACTCATAATTGATCTTAATTAACATCTGTATTCCATTGGGTGAATTTTAGGATTTTAGGATTAAGATCGAAGCATAAATCAAGCATTAATTAACATAAGCCTATAAATAAGTTCTTATTACATAAATGGTTTTTTCTTTCGATAATTATCGAACGATGAACACTTTCAAATTTTAATAATTATTTTTCCACTATGCCCTCTCTATAAAATTTTATTTCTCTTTGTAATTAATATTAAATAATTTAATTGAAATGGAATTAAGATCGAGATTAGAATTATTTAACGATTGTAATTGTAATTATCATGTAATTACAATAATTCCAATAATTACATTGTGATTGTAATTATTTAATAATTGTAATTATTTTTTGTTAGAAATCCACTAAATTGTAATTTCGCAAAAACGTATTCTAAAAGTTTGTACTTTGTCTAAATTTTTAAATATAATTAATGAGCGTCTAAAAAAATTACTAAATTTTCGAAATATACGTTTTACAAACAACTAAGCACTCAAAATAAAAGAATCTCATCAAAAAGCTTTTGTTCGACAGTTTATTACATACATTGTGCCAGTATAGAAATATTATACAAATTCGAAGATGCTTGAACGAATTACGAAATATTAAATTTACATGATCTATGTCTCTCTCTTTCTTTTTCTTTTCTTTTTTAACATGATTAAAAAAACGTACAAGAGAGCGGTGTACAACGATTCTCTCTATTCGAAAAGGCTTGGCCACGCATGCTGTATGGTGAATTTTCCTCGCTGCTCTCGCTAAATGAAGTTAATTAATAATCAATGTTATACACAGTTCATTACACCTTCCGTCCAAGCAGATTTTAGTATCGAAAAATACTCGCAATAAAATTCCGTTTATTCCGAAAATGTTCGTTAACGATTCTGCGAGATTAGAAAGCAGTTTATGAAAGTAACACGCATTAGACTGCATTCGAGTTTTTTTTTTTAGTTCAAATAGAGCGCAAAGTCTTGAAAAATGCTATATTCAGTATCACGAGAAATTGAAATAGGAATATTTTTCAAAATTATCCGATGAATTCTTTATAATTATTTTGTGGAAGAGTTGAACAGATTAGGTGTATTCATGACTAAATTATGAAAGATATCATTCAAAATTAACGGCATAAAAATATGAAATCGATGTGACGTAAAAATCTGATCTATAAAACGAATTTAAATTTTATTTATAAGATTCAAGATTTAAACTCCGAAATTAATTTTTTTAAATATAATTTTTTTTCGATTACGCTTTGAAAAGTACCACTTAAAAGTAAAAAGACAAATTTAACGATTTTGAGGTTAAATGCTTGT